AGAATAGAATAGAATATTTTTATTCTATTCTATTTATATTTAATTCTTATGTTTTCTTTACTGTGAAATAACTCCTCCAGCTAATCCTTATTTGTGTAATAACTGGTAAATGAAATCAAATAGATATTAGAAACTCATTAAATCATTGTGTCTSTTCATAACTATAGATAAAACACATTAGCTTTATAAGTTGCTGAGTCTAGAGAATGGTTGTTACAGAGCTTCAGAAACACAAAAAATTATAGGTAAAACRAGATCAACAAAATCTCATAAAAATCCCAAAATCTCCCTTTTCTTAATAATTTTGATGACCATCTAAAAAAAAAACCCCAAAACGTAAGGGAAAAGCTTGGTACTTTTAATATAAATCTCACTCACCGCTTTTAAAAAGAGTAATCAATCAGTTTTGATGACACAATAAAGTGGAAAGTTGGTATTTACTTTCATGGGCTCTTTAAAGCCCACCTATTAAGTGAAAACATGGGGGATCTTTCAGGTTCTTCCTATTGGACAAACCGTTCGCGTTGATAAAGGTGATTCGTTGGGATAGCTGTCACTCAGTGTAAGCACCGCCCCCGTCCCTTCTCTGGACTGGAAGTCCGACCCAAACGGAGATTTTTACGAAAACATCGACCGCAGACTGCGTAGCAGAGCCGACGAGCACCGTGTGACGACGACCAGGACCCCCGAAGCGCTGGACCCGGTGGCGTGACAGCCACGTCGATGGCGTTTCTAAAGTTATACGACGATCTTTGGCCTTAAATACGTTAGTAGGGTTGAGTAGTTTCAGCGGCAATGACTGTAGCTTCACTCGTTAGATAGGAGGACGGAGAGAGAGAGGGGCCAAAGTGGACTCCCCCTCCCCTCGGTACTGAACCGTTCCGCCCGATGGAGGCTGACGGGACCCTTGCTGCAGGCCCGGAACGTTACCTGTGAAGCGCCTACAACTCGCTGCAGGAGGTTTTTGAGATAAGGAAAAATAATCGCACTCATATGTTTGTTTCTTGGACTTGTTTTGTCAATTTCGATAGCTTGTAGGGAGGAAAAAGTTGGCACGAGACGAGCCCCGCGCGCAGGATGACGATCATTGATAACACCTAAACGACAGGTAACAGGTGAACGACGCAGCTTGTTAATGGACTTTTTTTTTTCTTCCTGCGGTGGACATTTAACTACGAATACACCTGCAGATATATCTGCTCCTGAAGAAGACTGAACTTTTTTTAAATATTGGACTTTATTTTCCTCCCTCCACGCCAAGTCTCGCCTCTCCCAGAGAAACCATCATCATGTCACTCAAAGACAACGCTTGTCGGAAATTTCAAGCCAACATTTTCAACAAAAGCAAATGTCAAAACTGCTTCAAACCCAGAGAATCCCATCTGATGAACGATGAAGACTTAAACCAGGTAAACCTCGTGCTCATTTGTCACCTGCACTGTATTCACAGCAAGTGTTACTGTGTTGAAAAAATGTTTTGTCATTAGACAGTTAGAGCTGAAGTTAATTGGACATAATTACTGAAGAGCCCCAAGGGACATTAATTTAGACAGATCTGAACTTCCACTCRTCTTCAACATGTTATATTTACTGCTGTTGTTGAATTATAAGGTATATTATATATGTTTTTTTTCCTTTGTTTTTTGTTTGTTTAGCCCAGATAAACAGTGAYGTCATATGGAAAAGCTGGATATCATTTTATTGTTATTGGAGCAGAAAGTCCAGCAGAAACAGTGGTGCATCAGGACATGTTGAACTCTGCTGACCTCTTAGTTACTACATTTGGTTAATTGTTTAGCAAACTCATGCGTACCCTAACAAATACAGTACTTCTACACAGTGTAGTAGTTTGTTGATGAGGTCTTTTGCATCTTCAGGGAAATCAAGCAGCTATTCTTRGAGCAAAGGTTCAACATGATGCCATTAGCTGTCTCAAACAGGAAGTAAACAACTAGACTGACAAATGTAATTCTGTGTTGTTTTCCTAATTACTATATGATATGGCTGTAACTAATGACTATGTTTTCAATTTGTTGATTAGTCAATAATATTTGTCACAACATCCATCTTGCTTCCTGTGGGTGCACATCTCATCTCACCTGYTCGTCATACCTGTGAACGTCACCCTGTCATCAAGTGTGTCTACCTTCACGTAACAAGTTCCCACAGTCGATTAAAAATAATAACCCATGGAACATGAATTTGAACCTCAAACATTGTAGCTTACTCGGATGTATTTTAGCATTACATGTAAACAAGATAAAAATGAACTTACAACATGCACATTAAACTACAAGTAGTCTTTTAAAGAAACGGCTAATATACACRTAACTCAAAATTGATTTATTAATTTTGCTTTAGCTAAAGTTAGCCTAACTGATGGCTCYGCTTCCAACAAACTCTGTTTTCTGATGGTAAACTAACAAAACTTATAGACCAGTGGTCCCCCAAAGTTGGGGTCGGGACCCACAGTGGGGTCCTGGAATATCAAAGTGGGGTCCTGAAAATATTTTCTGAATTAATTACACTAAAAAAATGACAACTTACAACATTTTTTTTGCCTTTGTTGTTACAAAATAATAACATTAGTGTACTTAAAATGGACAAAAATAGCATAATAAATACTTTTAATATGCTCTTGTTTATTTGACGAGGAAACATTGTTCATCAACCGACAACAGCTGGGGGCACAAGCCTCTGCTGCTGGTTTGTTGTGGGTTTGGTAACCAGTGCTATAGACAGTTGGCCACAACATGAAGTGATCACTGACTACAAATAAGTTTTATAAGACATCAACCTGACGAACAAGCTACAGTAACTTTCTGAAACTTGCCCATCTCCAGCGTTTTAGCATCCCATGATGTAACCATGTTTTTTACTGCCGCTGTCCTGCCATGGAATAACCCAATACATTTTACATTTCTTTAGTTGATTATCCGTAAAATCTGTTTAACACGATTGTCTGTCTGTTCTGCTATTATTATCGCTTTTTGATTTGCCCACTTCTTTGATTTACAAATTGGCATCCACCTCTTCTTCAGAAGTAAATAATGTAATCATAGACAATAGAGGCTATTCTGCCCCCATTAGGTCATGCATTGCATTGCAGTTAAAATGAACATTCACGTGGGTAAATAATATGATGTGTCAATGTTAAAATGCCACGTTGACTAATTTTTATAATCGACGTCGTTGATTATGTCGACTGATCATTGCAGCTCCACTGTATGAGCAAAACAGATTCCCATTTTTCCAACCCACTAGCCAGGAAAAAAAAATCATATTTTTTTTCTTTAGGGAACGATTGAGTTGTCAAGTAAGACGATCACAAATTCATTGGATATAACGAAGACTGCAGCAGAGTTAGCGCCAAGAGTAAAACTCCTACTCCTTGTAGGTTGGCTGTTTGTGGAAATCATAAATGTTTGACCTAACAAGGATCTTTTGTCAGTCCCCAGGTGTCAGCTCGGCTCACATTGTACTCGCTGTTCTYCACGGTGACCAGCGCCTCTCCTGTTGGGATGGAAATTGCCCTTTTATTAATTTTTGTCTGACATGCAGGCTTTTATTCTTTGAGTGGTTTCAAGTCTTCAACTTCTGACGATGGTTATTTGTTGTAGTAATGCTTTTAATTGTTTTTAATTAAATTCAAATAAAAATATGTTATTGAGGGCCTACAACACAAAAGCGGCACATTTTCTCAGCGTTAGATTATTATTTTTGCAAAAACTCTCACTCCATTTCCCCTCCTATTTGTGTCTGTGCATTAACATAGTCTCTTATGATCAAAGGGATTAAGAGGTTGGAGCCATTGAAAAAAGGAACACAGCATGAATATACTCCAATGAATCCATTTAGCCACTGAAGGGTAAAAAATGACCTACATTGATTTCATTTCTGTAACTCGGGATGAATTGCCTTTTGGGCTTCTGTCAGGTCTTGTGTCTTGAGATATTCTTCCATTCCATACGCTCATGTTTTCTGTATAATCCCACCTTTTTGTTTATTTGCTCCCATTTTTTTTAATCTCAGAAGTTTAGTAAATCATCTTAGGATGCTTCTCTGAGATTACTCAACTCTCAAGGTTTGGACTTTCCATTGCTTACTTTGTCACTCAGCTGAGAAATATACACACAGTCAACGTGAAATAGGGTTTTATGTGGATTGTCCTCATCCTCTCATAGGATAAACTTATGGCTGTATCCAAAACCCATGTTAAAAAGAGACAGAGGTGCCAGGCGGCTATAAATGTCAAAGCTCTGCAATTGATTGGTTAACTACTACTCCATAGACTGTGGAAAAGCAAGTGGTTTATGTAAGAGAGTTAATTTGGTAAGCTCTTTGGGAATAGACAATGTTAATTGTTGTCCCGTACGTAGTCATGCACACACTGGGTTTTTCTTTCCTGCTCRGCAAACAAGTGCTGACTACTACGGCTGTGACTCAAGTTCAAGTTCGTACCAGAACCACGTAGGAAAGCCCAATCTGCCAGGCTTTTTCTTTCCTCRGTTTGACTTGCCAATCTGTGGCCACAAAAGCTCCAAAGATTTGTGCTACTTTTCCTAGTTCTTGTCCACAATTTCTCTCGCTTAACTTCCTCTTCCCACTCACCGGTCCACCCACTGACAGGATCAGACAGAAAAAAAAATCATGTGTTAGGCTTTTCTTTTCTTTTGTTTTCCATCCAGGGCAGCGTGGTGCTCTGGAATAAAGCCAACAGGAGATTGTAGTCTGCGTTCAAGTCGAGGCATCCAGTAACTAATGCTCATCTTGGGAGTGAAACTGAAACAAGTTTTTGGGTTGGAGTAAAGCTGTCTGAAAATGGGGTCATAATCTGTAACCTCAGATGGCAGGAGCAGCCGATCATTGCGGCTAGTAGTAAAACCTAGCTGTGGTGACCGCCTGCAGTTATAAAAGCAACAAATTGAGATGTGCAGAATTAAACAACATATTTATTAACATATTCATTSTCTTTTATTTTCTTCCCTCACTAGGCAAAACCTACATATGCAGGATGGTTGCTTCTCGCTCCCGAGGGAACAAACTTTGACAATCCCTTACACAGATCTCGGGTAAGTGTTTATGCTCGCTTGATTTGTTTTAGGAGAGTTTAGCTTTGCCTCTTGGCTGGTTTTTACCATCGTACCAATAAACGAATTTTAGCAGGACACGATGATGCAAGGAAAATGCAAAAATGGCAGCTGGTGGAAGCTTTTTAATTTTTCTAATCTTTTGTCGCTCATTTTATAAACAACAATGATTGTTGTGGCTTTGTGACTTTTGTCATGCAATCAACAGATGCTTGTAAAAGTACCTTTATTGGTCATCAATGCATGTTCCCATAAAATGATGAAATTTRTGCTCTGCATTTAACCCATCACACGTGAGAAACACCCAAGTGGAGCAGCGGGCAGCTATGTAAGTGCCCTGGGAGAAGTTGGGGGTTGGGTGTCTTGCTCAAGGACACCAYGACATATGGGCATGGTGGGGAGTTGAAACTGTGACTTTCGGGTCCCAAGCCGGCTGCTCTAACACTACCCCACAGCTGCCCCATGTGGGAGGTTTTGGACCTTTTTTTTAATCAAAGGAGGCTTTTACGAGGCGGTAATGATCCCAATATTGATGTTATTTTGTGAGACGTACCCTCCCTATCATCATGTAATGGGAGCCTGTCTTTATCAGCTCTCAGATTATACTGTGTTGGTGCATCCYAAAAGAGGACTAGGGAGACTGTGGGGGAGGAGAAGGAAGGACCTGGTTCTCACAGCCACACTGATGGCTTCCATATGGGTTTTTTGGGAAAAGCACCTCTTGATCTACTATCAGCAATCTGGTGCTGCCACTTAGACATCATCCTTGAAACGTGCTTGTTTTTTTTTTTTTTTTTACAGTCAGCTTTTCATTGCAGGGCTGTAATTGGTAGCTTGTACGTAAGCGGGAAAGTCATGCAGACGAACCAGTAAACTAATAACAGAGTAAAAAGCCTGATAGCTTGAGTGACTCATGTTGTAGGACCTTATTAGTTTAACAGGTTGCTGGTCTGTGGTTTTACATCGTGACTCTGAGTTTTGTTATCTTTTTTATAGTTCCTTGTGACTCCCAATAGTGTCTCATATTTCTGGCAAATGTAGCTATAATGACAGCATCACCTCAGTATCATATACAGTATACAGCTTCGTAGTGCTCTAATCTGTTTTTAATAGATCTGATTTTCCTTTGATTAAAGCCCATGGGCTTCAACGTCAAATTAAAAAATGTGGAAGCTAGATGGGCTGATAAAATTAGCTGAAATACGGTTTGAATCAGGAAATAATGTCCCAACTGTTTAAGAAATGTTTTGGTTTTTGCAGTTACACAGAGTAATGCCTGTTAGATGYGCTGCAAGATTCAAGATTTTTCAAGTTCATGTTTGCCAGGATGTTTCACACTTCATGAGAAACTCAAATGCAGAACTCCTGGGGAGTCCTGATCAGACGATCCCACTGTAGGACTGATTGCCTCCTACCACTGTTTTGTTTTAACATGTTTGGATTCTTTTAGTCATAAAGTTGAACTTTATTATATATTGTTTTCAGAAATGTTTCATCTTTCCAAAAATTTGTGGCTTTAAATGTCTGTAAAGATATGATTTACAGATTTTTGTACTTCTTCAAAGTAAATTTTTTCCTCACAGTCATGGCAGAGAATAAATTTCTTGCTTTCTTGCACAGTCTGAAGCAGCCTTTAGTCATGGTTGTAATCAGTTGTGAAACATTTTTTTGTAATTGTACCGGTGAAGAAATACCCAAACTGTTATTTGATTCGAGTTTGTAAATGTTGGCTAAGTTTGCGTGTGCAGTTAAGGGGGAAACTATCTTAAACTGGATGATCTGGACCAGCTGATGCATGTTGATAAAATGCTGTTCAGCTTGCTTTAAAGTCTTTTAAATTGGTGGATTCAGAGACTGTGCCAATAATCTTATGGTAATCTTTAAAAGGCTTGTTTGGTCTTGTGTGTTCAGTGTTTACCATTAATAAACATGAACCTACAAGTCTGGTTTACAAAAAAAATCTCATTTAAAAAATATTCAGATGTAAAACAATCTGACTTTAAATGGAATGGATAAACCTGTTAAAGGGTTAACATTTTCTAATCTTGTTTTATCCTTCATAAATGATGCTACTATGATTAATACAAACATATGTAAAAATCTGCCTTTTATTCCTCATTTTTCTTATCTTAGAAATGGCAAAGAAGATTTTTTATCCTCTATGAGCACGGATTACTTCGCTATGCTCTGGACGAAATGGTAAGTCAAAGTTTCTTTCCATCTAATATTTCTTTAAAACAGTCTTATTATGGCTGATGTTCAGAAGAGAGCCCATCACAACAGTCAACCAGAGGTAGGGTTTAGTCAAACAAACAAGGAAAAAGAAAATCATTTATTGAGCTTTTATGGAACTGGCTAAATTATTATTTTAGCATACAGTGACAGCAGTATTTTTGTTTCTAATCACTATGCCATTAAATTTATTAAATGCAAACACACATGCAACATTGGGCCTCATGCAAGAACATGTTTGTATTCTTATCCTAAATTTCTCTTACTTTTGTTCGTACAAAGGGTTCGTATGAACATGTCACGTCAGATTCAACAAACTCTTCTATCTTCAGGAAAAGTGTGTAAATGAGCTGCGTAATTTCCACCTGTTCGTATCCAGC